ACATTAACTGATAAGGAATAGTGTCAACAATATTACTGTTAAGTGGAAAACCAAAGTATAGAACAGTTAATCTATAATACGAGAATATATAACATACAATCAACTTGTTTTCTGACCCATATTGGAAGGATTCATGTTGTCCAGGGAGTATCTCTTTGGATGATGGCTTGAGGAAGGAAGAAAAGAACACTTTGACTTGGGAATCCACTTAATAGCTTACATTTTCCACTGTAATAAGGAGCAAGTACAAGCTTTATAATTTTTTAAAATAGATTTTTAAAAAGATTTTATTTTTAAGTAATATCTACACCCATTGTGGGGCTAGGACTCACAGCCTTGAGATCAAGAGTAACATATTCTATCAATTAAGTCAGCCAGGAGCCCCAAATTTATTTACTTATTTGTTTGTTTACTGTTTAAGTATGGTTTATATCTTTCAAATAAAAATGTATGAAGGTTTTATGTAAAAATATAAAAAGGGCAGATTTATTTATTTATTTGAAAGCACCATAATTATTTGGGGAAAATGATACATGCTCATTTAAATATCCATATAAAATGGCAAAAATAAAAAAGTAAAAATCTATTCCAAAGATAAAACTATTTTTAATTGGTAAACATCTTTCTAGATTTTTTTAAGTTTTTTAATGTTTTTATTCATTTTTGAGAGACAGAGAGAGACAGAGTGCTAGCAGGGGAGGGGCAGAGAGAGAGGGAGACACAGAGCTGCCAGCACAAAGCCCAGTGTGGGGCTCGAACCCATGAACTGTGAGATCATGACCTAAGCTGAAGTCAGATGCTTAACCGACTGAGCCATCCAGGCACCCCAATTTCTACCTATTGCTTTATGCATCTGTACAATTTTACAAAAATGAGCTCATCCTATTTATGCTGCTATATAGTCTCCTTTTAATCAAATGATATTCATTGGACTTTTTCTAAATAAACCAGTTTCTTTGTATAAGCTCTGTAGTATGCCACTGTATTAACAACTCATTAACTAAACTAATTACTTATTTTTAAGCACTATAAACGATGCTGCCTCATTCATTTTTAAAATAATAGATAGGCACATATATAAAAAATAAAACAAAATAAAATAACAAATAGGCATAAAGTAACACTTTAAATTTATATGTAAAATATAATAGCAATACTATGAAGAATAATCACCTAGTCAGACTTTCTGTGGTTTGGACATCCAACAAGCACCAAAATGTGCACTTGGCCTGGGCAAATGTGTTCATATTCATTGTAATTTTGATAATTATAGCAAAATAATTACATTATTATAGGTAATAGTTACATCTTTACATTTATCATAGAATATATGATAGCAGTTTAAAAGAATAAGTTAAGTTGATGAGGCTCCTGGCTGGCTCAGTTGGTAGAGGGTGTGACTCTTGATCTCCAAGTCATGGGTTCAAGACCCATGTTGGGCATAGAGCCTACTTAAAAAAAAAGAAAAAGGAAAATAAAATCACAAAACAAACAGGGTACATTGATAGGTACCAACTTGAAAAATCCCTATCCCATACTAATTAGTGAAAGAAGGCATTTACACAGTTACTTTCAGGTTATGTTACCCAGTTATTTTCAAAAATATAGGAAACTCGATTTACTGAAACCTACAAGTATATTCCCATATAAAAATTCATCACACTGTACATTTAGAATTTGTGCCATTGACCATGTGTAGCAACATGGATGGACCTTGAGGGTGTTATGCTGAGCGAAATAAGTTAGGCAGAGAAGGACAAATATCATATGTTTGCATGTATAGGAGGATTAGGAGGAACTTGACGGAGGAACAAGGGGGAGAAGAAGGGGGGAAATGGTGGGGGAAAGGGAGAGAGGCAAACCATGAGAGACTCTTGAATGGTGACAAAAACTGGAGCCTGAGGGGGGGGGGGGGAGGGGGGTGATGGGCATGGAGGAGGGCACTTGTGGGGATGAGCACTGAGTGTTATGTGGAAACTAATTTGACAATAAAAAACTATTTTTAAAAAAAAAAAAAAAAGAATTTGTGCCATTGATAGTATGGAAATCAAACCTAAATTTAAAAATAGGTTGTTTAGGGGCACCCGGGTGGCTCATTCGGTTAAGCCTCAGGCTCTTGGTTACTGCTCAGGTCATGATCTCACAGTTCATGAGTTCAAGCCCCACATCAGGCTCGGCGCTGACAATGTGGAGCCTGCTTGAGATTCTCTCCCTCTCTCCCTCTGTCTCTGCCCCACCCCTGTACACACTGCCTCTGTCACTCTCAAAAATAAATAGACTTAAAAAATTCAAATAATAATAGGTTGTGTCTACCCTACACTGGGGGTAGAGTAGGTTGTGGGGTGCCTTGGTGGCTCAGTCAGTTAAGCGTCGGACTCTTGATCCTGGCTCAGGTCATGATATCATGATTTGTGGAGCCTGCTTGGGATTCTCCCTCTCCCTCTCTCTGCCCCTGCCCTGCTCATGCTCTCTCTCTGTTTGTCTCTCTCTCAAAATAAATAAACATTAACAAAATAAGTTGTGTCTATATTTATGTGTATATATGTAAATACATAGAAGTCAATCTGGAACAACATGTACCTGATTTTTGGCAATGGTTACCTTTTAGGAAAGGAGGCCTCTGCTTTTCCTCTATATACTTCTGTATTGTTTGAATATTTAAAAGAGGATATGCATCAATTGGGTATCTAATCAATCAATCAATATAAATACAACATTTTTTAAATTTAAGTCAATAAAATAAATAACATAAATAAAATAATCAATTAATAGATAAAATTAACAGACCACAGCTAGATTTTGGAAGAAAAGAAGCTGCTCAGAACCTATGTAGAGATACACCTATCTTCTTCCTTGGGAAGTATTTTAGGACTATGTTTTCTCTATCTTTGCCACTCTGGAAAGAAGTTCACATTAAGTCACCAGTTAACTTCTATAAGAAGGTTTTCCTAGTCCCCTAATCCCCACTCGACCCAATGGCTGCATGTGGATGTGAGATGGGAATGCCACAGCCACCCTGCAAGGTGCCCAACCCCACCCCAGGGAGCGAAAGCCTATAGGAGACTCACTACTTGCTTAAAGAACACACCTCTCTCCTTCGCACACTTGTTGTGGCTGAGGGATGATACAACTAATGGAAATGAACATGCAATACTGGCATACATGGTATGAATTAAAAAGTAATTGAATAGGGGCACCTGGGTGGCTCACGAGGTTAAGCATCCAACTTTGGCTCAGATCATGATCTTGTAGTCTTGAGTCCCCCATCAAGTTCTCTGCTGTCAGCACAGAGCCCGCTTCAGATCCTCTGCCCCTCTCCTGCTTCTCTCTCTCTCTCAAAAAAAATCTTTTTAAATAAGTAATTGAATAACAATAAACTCAGATTAAAACAATCAAATACCCTGTCCTGCTAAACCAGTGAGGATTTGTTCATTGGCTTTACCCAGTATTGGCATGGAATGAGTCAATGATGAAGGGAAAGCTAGATAAATTAGCAGAGACCAAAGGAAGGAAGGAGAGCTTTGTCGAACATACTAAGGAGTTTACCCAGGAACCAGGGCAAGCCAGTAACAAGCCTTAGACAGCTGGATCACCTCTGGCTGCTCCAAGGAGAATACATTGAGAAGCAGCAAGACTGGACATGGATAGAGCACCTAAGAGGCCAATGAAGTAATCCAGGCAAAATATTTTTTGTACCCTAGAACAGAGGGAAAGGAAACAAGTGGATTAGTAGAGGGATATATTGAAGAGAGGAGTCTGATAGGTCTTGGTGATTGACTGCATACATCCATCCAGAAAGAGAGAACAGGGTGGTGGTGGTGGTGGTGGTATGTATATTGTCTAAGTTCAATCAGTAATAGCTGAACCCTGGCACTCATGGATTAAGAAATTCATTGTTGAAATTAGACCATGCGCAATTTGTGGGAGCAGTTGAACATCTGGGAAGGGGAGTTAAATCCCTAACCAGTCAGTCTGAGAATCTAAAAACATCCAGCCATCGAAGTAGGAGTGCAAAGAGGAGACTGACGGAGAAGTCTAGGAAAAGCATTTGCCTTTGGGGATATAAAAGCAATCATCTGCTGATGGATCTTGGCCTGCTGTTGGTCAACAAGGCCTACAGTCTGGAGGAAGAGCTGGAGGCAAAATAGAGTAAGAGCAAGAACAAGTTGGAACCTGCCAGGCACCTCTGCATGCACAGGCCGTCTCATTGCACTAGGATGGCATTCAGATATGGTGCCTCCAAATTCCTTTTCTGGCCAACTCTAACCTGGAACCATACAGGGAAAGGGGCTCTGCAAAACAGTTTCCAGCTTAACCAAGTTAATGGTGGGAGGTTCTGGAGGAAATGTATTGAGCTCCATTTTAGACGCATTAACTATAAGTGGATTGTAATACACACTCATGGAGATGACCAATAAGTGCTAGTCCTGTCCAAATTTCTTCAGGATGCAAACAAATCGCTCTAGTTCTAATCTATTCTGGGGCGAGAGAGTGGAATGCAGGTCTGGATTATGAACCTAGGAATGAAAGGTATTGGCCCAGAGTGAAGACAGTCTCGAGAAATAAAAAACAGTTCAACAGGTCTATAAGCTTCAGGCAGTGACTTGGGGCAGCGAGATGGAGTGTGTGGGCCTTACAGGGCAGGTGGGAGGTGGTCTTCTGGAAAGATGGCCTGAGAAACCTTACCTCTGACTGAGGAGAGAATTGGTCTATATATTAGGGGTAGCCCCTTAAATCAGAATTTTGAAAGTACAATGACATATAAGATAAGGACTTATTTGACAGTACTCCTCTTATTTTTTAATGCTATTATGGAAGCACAAGACAGTGTATCTAATGACTGATTCTTCTTTTCAGAAATTTCAAAGACAAGTTTGTTAATACAGTTTGTGACCTTACTTGCTTCCAAGTCTTTCAGAATCATAAAGAGAATTCTGACTGAGGTTCCAGATGAGGTAGTAAACATTCCACACAGAGAGGTCGACTGTCACATACATGGAACCCCCAGCACCGCCCCAATCACCACCACCTCCCCTCCACTACTGCCATCGATATCACTATCCAAGTTGATGGAACAGAGGCTGGGGAAAGGCAGCAAAGAGACGGCAGAGGGAGGTAACAATTCCAAATAAGAATGGAAACTAATACTGCTTTCAGGTCAGTTTTCTTCATTTCTATTGGATAACAAAAGTAGTCAATTAACATTTCTTTAAAAAACTCCAGTGTAATTAACATACAGTGTGATATTCATTTTAGGTGTACAAGATAGTGATTCAACAATTCTACACATTACTCAGTGCTCATCATGATAAATGTACTCTTAATCCACTTCACCTATTTCACCCATTCCTCCACTCACCGCCCCTTTAGTAACCATCAGATTGTTCTCTATCATTACGAGTCTGGTGTATTTTTTTTTTTTTTTTGGTTTGTCTTTTTTTCCCCCTTAGTTAAAAATTTTTTTAAGTAGCCTTCACACCCAGTGCAGAGCCCAAAATCGGGCTTGTACTCACGACCCTGAGTTCAAGACCTGAGTTGAGATCAAGAGTCAGGGACTCAACTGACTGAGCCATCCAGGGGCCTCTCACTTGTTTTGTTTTTTAAATTCCATATGAGTGAAATCATATGGTATTTGTCTTTCTCTGACTGACTTACTTTGCTTAGATCCATTGATGTTGGTGCAAATGGCAAGATTTCATGTTTTTATGGGTGAATAATATCCCATTGTATACACAACACACACACACACACACACACACACACACACATCACCTCTTATTTATCCACTTATCTATTGATAGGTACTTCTAAATTTTTCTGTTAAAAAACACAAAAAAATTGTTGTTGAGGCAAAGCCAAGAGGCCTACTAATATGCTAATAGCTCTAGAAGCATTTAGGGGAGCCTGGGTGGCTCAGTCGGTTACGCCTCCGACTTCAGCTCAGGTCATGATCTCACGGTTCATGGGTTTGAGCCGCACTGGGCTTTGTGCGGACAGCTAGCTCACAGCCTGGAGCCTGCTTCTGATTTTGTGTCTCCCTCTCTCTCTGACCCTCCCCTGCTCACGCTCTCTCTCTCTCACAGAAATTTAAAAAAAGAAGCATTTATGAAGATGAAGTGTAAATTTGTAAATAAAATTTTACTATAGGAATGAGTAGCTATGTTGGATATAGTTGTGCCCTTCAGGGAATTAAATACAAATAAGGAAAGCAGCAAAAACATTTCAAACTTTTCAGCGCTTTGCTTGTTTCTTTAATCATATTGTCATGTGCATACCATATGTTAAGGTTGCTAAAGCCCTTTGCCTATCACATAGTATACCATCTTATTTATCATGAATCATAGAAAATTTTCCTTCCTAGAAACAAGATTTTTGCATAGCATATAGAATAAAAATTCTACTGGGAAGAATCTTAAAGATATTTGCTTATTTTCTAGAGCTATTGTATTATTTTACTTATGTATTCATTTTTCATTTACATACATTTCTCAAAATTAGGGTCTATTTTTTTAATGTTTTTATTTATTTACTTAAGTAATCCCTACACCCAACATGGGGCTTGAACTCATAACCCCAAGATCAAGAGTCAAATACCCTATTTAGCCAGCCAGGAGCCCCTAAATTGTGCTCTATTTTACTTGTCCAGTTTATTACTATTTGTTAAACTGAGTAATATAACTGTAGCCAAGCAACTGGGTATAAAGATTACTTTTTAGAGGACATCCAGATGGCCAACAGACACATGAAACGATGCTCAGCATCCCTCCTCATCAGGGAAATACAAATCAAAACCACACTGAGATACCACCTCACGACAGTCAGAGTGGCTAAAATGAGCAAATCAGAGCACTCTAGATGCCGGCGAGGATGTGGAGAAACGGGCACCCTCCTACACTGTTGGTGGGAATGTAAATTGGTACAGCCCCTCTGGAAAACAGTGTGGAGCTTCCTCAGGAAACTTACAATAGAACTCCCCTATGACCCAGCAATAGCACTGCTAGGAATTTACCCAAGGGATACAGGAGTGCTGATGCATAGGAGCACATGTACCCCAATGTTCATAGCAGCACTCTCCACAATAGCTAAAACATGGAAA